AGTAAAAATTGGATTGATTTTGAGAAAATGTTGAAAATGTCCCAGGAGATTCATGTAATGTATCCACAAAATTTAAAGACTTTTTCAAAATTGTAAGGTTTCGAGGCGGGTAAGAGAGACATGTGGTAAGCTGACGTATTCCTTTCACCATAAGTTCCAAACTCTGCCTTCCGGAGCTATTCTTTGTCACGCACCAACAGAAACTGAGACTCATTTGTACAACTTGCTTCAACACTTGAGCTAAGACCGGTAATCGAAGTCGGGATCGATAAATATTGCCCGCAACCAATGTAAAGGTGTTAGTTGTAGCCCTTGAGACCTTGCAAGTTGGATACCCCTGTGATATATCATACAATCTTAAATAAGTTGTTTTCATACAAATAATTTATAAGAAATATACCTCAATATTCAGGCGTTAATTTTCTTTCTTCCACAACCTATTAATCGTACAACAGGGATGTCTTCGGGAAAGAAAAGAATGACTCTCATATTTTTAAATGTGTCAATTTAAAAATGCCAAGATCAACTATAAAATTAAAGACCGGTGAGGGACTGTATATTTTTGGTGAGACAGTGTTTGTATTATTGGCCGATAAATGCGAGAAAAATAATTTATCTTCATTGTTACACAAATATATTTTGAACTAGAATGGAACATATATCTTTAATTTTCACAATGTACGTCCAACCTTGACATAATAGGCTTAATCTCCACATAACATGTCTATTGCTTAGATTCTCTTCGGTGATTATAACATACGTATAACAAATTTAGAGGTAATTTGAATGTAAAGAATTGTTATTGAGAGATTCGCGAAATCCAATATTGCATTCTCCGATAACTAAATCAACAAATTCTAATTTCCGTCACGAAGCATTAAATTTAAAGATGAGGAGACGCTATTTCAATCCAATTTAGGTGTTTCGAACTTACTGAGAACTTCCTGCGATCTTTCCGCGATGATTCGTTTCAAGAGAAAACTTAATAACTTCTCCAACGTATCATTGAAGAAGACTGCCATTGAATCAAGCATTCATAATCGTTAGGCGAAATAGCAACTGTTTCCTTGAGCATTTATACAATCTCTAATGGTGATTGTCTTCCATGAATATCTATGCAAATAATGTGAGTAATATGAGAGATAAATACGATAATTTTTGGCGACCTTACTCTGCATTTCAATAGAGAAGATCGTTATGAGCTTCAACGTTTCTTTTTTATTTATTTCTACCTGCTCGGCATTTCTTCCTTTCAGGGGTGATCATTATACAAAATTCTACACATTAACTTTTAGGGATGGATATCCGCATGCGTTACCTCCTCTCTCAGGGGTCTGATAAAACGTCGTTCTTTGAGAAGAAACTGTGGATAACAGTTTTTAGAGTTATATGTGATAATTTTGAGGAAAAATTGTGTTAATTTGTTTCGAACATTCTGAACTGAGGAAATTTAATAGAATATAAGAAAGAAGTTCATTTGTTTTGTGGTATTTGAGTAAAGTAAATTGATATTTTACAAACTTTGCTGGTCAAGCAAATAACTACCGTGCACGGATTTGCCTAGTATGCAGTTAATTGGAAAGAATTAATCATTTAAAGTATTAAAGGAGTATTTGTAATTTCCAAAGTGACAAAAGGGCGATTTCATTCATTATCCATTTTACAAATTATTTGAAAGTGTTGTTTGTTCATTTGGTTTAGTGTTATTCAGTTCCCGTTGTAAATTAATTTATAATTTGAAGAATAAACGCATTAATTTGCCTACTTCTCTGTCTTTGGGAAAAACTTTCTCACACCCTAAAGATCCTGCCCCCTGAGATCACAAAGCTCGATACGAACATTCATTTTGACGCCACCTCCGGCAGAATATGTATGTGTATATATATATATATATATATATATATATATATATATGGGCGATAAACTCCGACACCGTGTGACCGTTTTTCATGAGAGTCTACACATCGGTGTACCAATAGCAGGCGCTCAATAACAAATTTGCGCTTGGTTTTAATTAAATTCCTATTCAAACTGCGCTCCATTGTTGCTGAGCGTTGCCGTTTAACGCAGGGCGAGAAAGACAGGAAAAGAGACAGAGACACACACAGAGACGGAGTTATAGACTCTGAGACAGGGAGGGACAGAGATACGGGGAGAGACGGAAAGACAGAGGTGGAGAGAGAAAGGAAGGGAAAGAATAAAGAGAAAGGGGAAGGGCAGAACAACGTCTACCCGACTCCGCTAGTATAATATATTTTTTATCCTCTCTACATAAAAACCGCGAGGGATCGATAATGCTTTTGCACAATTTATAAGAATAAATACAAAACCCAGTAATTGTGCTACAACTGAATAGGGTATTACTCCACCGTCCAGTGCTCCACAGATTTAAGGAAAAAAGTTGATATTTGCATATTAGGGCGAAAAACAGATTACAGCAACACACATTATAATTGCTTTTAAATAAGAAACAATGGGCATTAGGCTATTAAATTAAGATTCTTTTGTATTCTAAAGGAGACAAGTTTTGTGGGAACAGGTGTGTTCTCTGGGGACACGAGTTTTGGAGGAAGGGGTGGAGGAGATGTGCGGAAATATAGAGGGCGGGAGAAAAGATGGCTGGTAGGTCCCGAATTATATTTTTTAAGCAGAATTTTACAAAATGAGCTTTTGAATTTTCTATTGAGTTCTATTGTTTTTTTATTGAGTTATTTTCATTTCTCCTACTCTATTGCATGGGTAGTCATAAAATTCTTAGAAATTCGAAATCTGTATTGATTTGATTTGATTTATTATCGTTAATCTGCAAAAATTGTATGTGACATTTGGGGAAGAAGTTCAAAAGTATACATAAAATGAAAATGAAGAGGAAAAACAGAAATAATCTTTAGCGAGAAAATTAAATTAACCGTTTGATTTTCTTTGGAATATATCCTCAACACTTAGCGATATTACAACAGTTACACTCGGACAATACTGGACCTGTAATGCTGTAATGCCCAGTTCAGGGAATGGCCATCCGAAGACGGGTACTTGTATTAAATATTTTTTACTTTTAAAACACTTATTTACAAAGTGCGAAATTTTCTTATATGTCCAGCTTTTATCTATACTAATAAAAGTGAATTGAACGACATGTAACCGACATCGATAGCGCAAAAAGTAGTATAACAATAGATAATAAATTTTTACTTAGAACTTGGAGGTTCAGAGTCCTCGTCAGTAATAAAAAAATATATTGCAGAATCGGTATCGAAATGAATTAAAATTTCTAAACAGTTATTCAGCACCGAGGAGACAGCATCAACATCAAGAGATTCATGCACGTCGACGTGAGCACCTCGACCTTAAGAAGACTTGAAATTAGCAATAATTATAGTTGTTCATGCAATGTTCATATTCATTATAATGCTAAATTTGAAGTTAAAAATAAGAATACTATAATTGAACAGTTTAAAATTAGTTTTGTAGGTGTTGTATTGTGTTGTGTGTATGAATGTTTCCAATGTTGTTTATCGTCTGTTTTCGAAGTTTAATAAATAGTTTGAAAATACCTTGGCTACTTAACGGCCAACGGACGTTCATTTCTTAAGATTACCATTAAGATTACCTTTACATTCCTCTGTGGGGTTCCGTTTAGCAGATTTATTGACAGATATCATTACAAAAAAATTTAAACCAATTATATTAAAAATAAAATTTTAAACACCGTTTTACATAAAATTCATATTTTTCCTCTTTCACAAGGATTGAGCGCGAAGAAATCGCACACAATTGCTCGTTATTTATATGTAATAACATAAATTTAATATTTTATGAAGTTAATTTGTAGCCTAGATATTATTTATGAAAATGTTCATGTTTAATCTCAAAAATGAACTGCGGATCCCTTGTTTTGCTTGGCCGAAATACTCTAATACAGAAAAGACAGCTTTGATTCTCTTTTGTTTACCTTGTCACATGTTCTGTGTGTAGTATCCTTTCGGAAGATATTTGATTTTTCATATAGGAGAGTTGGATAAAAGTCATTTTCAATTTTGAAGGTCTGTTGAGGGATCGTTCTCAGAGCCTAATAGCGAAAGTCAGAAAGACGGTGACTTCCTCTGCGTCTTTACTTTTACCTCTTTGTCTCTTTGACTTTCACTCAACACGTGATGGTGACTAAGCCGTCGGAAGACATACCAACTTTCATTTATAAAATGTAATTCTGATACGAAGAGGATTAATTTTCACTCCTTTCGTATAAGACCAATGGTCTTCGCATCTTCGAACATCCTTATCCCTTCAGCGAACTATTTTATTAGCGTGTTTTCTCTTCATTCTGGAAGCTCCTATTGTAATGAGAATAAATTCAGCTCAATGCTTTTTTTAAACAATGTATTGATTTTTATCTTGATAATTGTATGACTGACAGAAGTATCTTAAAAATTACAATATTTTTCAGCCTTCCCCTAGGGAGTACATGACTTGGACGTTACTGGTGAAGCTTGTGTACCCCCGTGATCCTCAGAGCCAAGCCGGCAGTAGCACAGCTTCTGGTAGGGCCTCCCTTGCCCGACCGGTCTAAGGGGAGGGGTCAGACGACGAAGTACTCCAGAAGAGAACGGAAGTGCAAGAGAGAACATCCGGTACGGTGCGCTGAAGAGGATCTCGAAACAACGAAGATTTAGGCAAAAATTCTAGCCTATATTTCTACCTGAGGATGAAGGATACGGATATGATCTCGCCAACGAAACACGTAAATTCCAAAAGAGATCAGGCCAGGAGGAGCTCAAAGCCTCGGTAAAGCCATCCTCATAGGGGAGTAAACTCCAAAAAATCAGCGTTCGTTGTGAACGAAACACAATTTAAAAGATATCTTTCGACAACTTTTAATTACGACTCTTGTAAGTAAATAATGAAGAAGGTAAGTGGTAGTGTTTTTAAATCACTAATTGGTATTGGCATGCAAAATGAAAAATTATTTTCAAGAAAATGCTCTCCAATGAAAGTCACATGCTATTAAGGGTTTCAAATATTTTTTATTTATAGAATCTAAATACCATACATCATATTGTACTGTATTTTCAGAGAAAACTTCCACATTAGATATTTGATGAAAGTACAGGCTTTACAAAATATTTCACACCACGACTATGAAACTTCGGTATTTTGGGCAAGTAAATCCGTAAATGAATTACAAAAGTAGAGAGTCACAGAGATTAAACGAAAATGAATAAAGAAAATAATTTGCTCTTAAGAAATAATTTCATTTTTTTATTAAAAATAAACTTTTTATCCACTATATGGAAAATTACCAATTACCAAAAACTTCACCTATTCAAGTCGAACATTTTTGCTAAAAGTATTTCAGTTTAAATGATTGCCTGTATTCTGTAAATATTCAAGAAAATAAAATATTATCAGTATTTGTAAGTAATTTATGTACTCTGAAATGGTATATCTGAAAGAATGAAATAAAAGTATCATTGCATTTTATTTTTCAACATATCCTTGATTTCAGTTTCGTACATTTTATTTCTAAATCGCACATTTAGATGAAATTTAAAACAATCATTACACCTGGAAGTGCAATACATTTTTCGGCAGGGTGTTTTGTGAAGATTCTTTGGATCAAATGCGAATAGTGTACATAAAAGGAAGTTTCTCTGTTAGGGAGGGTAACAAAGAAGACTGACGCCGTTCTCCCCCTCGAAGCACGTCCTTCGTGTGCTAGTCTTCCGGGTCTTCATCGTCGTCCTCGGTCCATTCATGACGCCTCCTAAATTCCCCGGTAGGGTCATACTTGTTAAGGATCTCATTCCAGTAGCCATCTCTGTGGAACTGCAGCAAATTGGAGAGAATCTTGCCCGCAATTCTCTTTTGCTTGTCGTTGCATTTGGAGCATTCGTTGCCAAGAGCGTCGGGCACAACAGCTGAAACAAGAGAAGGGTCCTTTAGGTATATTGTTAGGGTCAGTAAGCATCCACAGAACTTGTTCAGCTACCAGTAAATACGAACACTGAAGCAGGCAACAGGATACATATGAATTTATAAACACTTTCATTTTCTTTGCGAAAATTCATATAAATTGAGTGTTATTTTGTTCCAATCGAAATGAAAAATAACTTAAAATATTTGCTTTAAAAGAAACTAATATTTCGTATAAATATTTCTTCAAAAACGTATTTTACACATTTTTTAGTATATTACATTTTAAATAATATATTTTACTTCTCCCTAACGCAAAATAATAAAATCATCTTTAACATCAACTTATCAAGTATTTTTAAACCTTAGGCAATTTTATCATGTAATGTTTAAGGGTCAATTGGCTTTCTTAAACTTCGATTAGTACAATATAACTAAATACTTGAACATGTCCACTGTCGGCAGGGATATTTCGTAGCCTAAATTTAGGCTTCATTGTTGTAATTACCTTTCAGAAAGTAGGAATGAAATTTTCTCATTCTGGAAACGAGATCTACGGTTTGCTGTGGGAGACTCAGAATCCGTCTCAGGTTCAATGGAATAGTGCTGCGCTCTCTACACGCTAACGTGAAGTAGCGTATAATTAGAAATTAATGTTGCGAAATGACATCATGCAAAAATAGAGCTGTTACTACGGTTTCCCAATCGTTACATCCATCGAAATCTGAATTTCATTTCAAATATTAGACTAGTGGTGCAACAGCACCTATTTTCTCGCTTACTACTTTGCAATTTTCGAAAATTCAGCGAAAATGGAACATACGTAATTTTTTTAAGCGAGCATTTCCCTTTTTAAGATAAATTTTAAGAAAAAAATTTCGAGCGATTTTAGATCAAATATTCTTTTTTAAATTGTAATTATTTCAAGGTAAAATTACAAAACAATTACTTGTATTTTCAAAAAATTGAACATTTCCTTATTTAAAGATTTTCAAAACAGAATCTATTAAGAAAAATCTTTATTAACAACATTCATTTGCAATGTTAATTGAATTTCCTACAATACGTTTACTAAAAGTGGGACATGACTCACTTTTATAAGCACATTTTCAGAAAATTTTTCTTTAAGATGCACATACTTCACCCAAAATTACGAGAAAACGACTCTTAATTTCGAAAAATTGAGCATGAACTTATGTAAAGATCTGTCTTTCAAGCGCAGATTTCAATAAGAAAAAATCTCCCATCAGTATTGCAGTAGTAAAAACAGACCGAAAAATGTGAACTTTTGAATTTCTGAAAATTCGTCCTGCGCCATTTTAAAGCCACCTGCGCCAATTCAACAAAATGCGACCCGAGCCATTTTAAGCATTATTTGGTCTAAGAAAAAATTTATCCAAAAACGTGGAGCCATTTTCGAGAAAAAGTTGTTAAGATTTCCCAAAATCAGTACTCCCAAAACTCAAAATAGCTGTTTCAAGTTCTCAGGACCTCCATTTTTCGGGAAATGTAAAATTTAAGGAAACTCTTCAAAAAAACTATTGAATTTTCGAAAAACTGTATATGACGTCATTTCAAGAACTTCCTGTCCGTGTTTACAAATTGCTGGAAATGTGCGTATTAAAGTCGTGAGAGATCTTTCAAATAATTATATTTGTGTAATTTTTGAAAAAGCAAATAAATACAGAAAAATTAATTCAGTGTCATCTTAAACAGTGCAATTAGCAATGTGTTGAAAAGTTTTGAAGAAAATATTTAGATCCGTTTTAGAGAAAAAGGGGTTTGAGTGTTTCTGAATATGCGTAATTTTGAGCGCATTTTTACGCAAAATTGCAGTTTTCGGGAAACTTTATCTCACATTATTTAAGGCACGTGTACTCATAAATACATGAGTGTAAAAAAATTGCCGCTATTATAAATATTGACGACGAGAGAGACGAGTCAAAAAATACATTTTTGTAATTTTTGGAAAAACAAAATAGAGCATAATATAATTTTTGTCATCTTATAGAGTGCATTTAGCACAATCCCTACAAAACGTTTAAAGAAAAAAATTGGAACTGTTTAGACATAACTTGTTTTTGTACTTCTTTTAAAATTAGACCAATTGCACGCAATATTGTACGAGAATTACTCAACTTTTCAAAAATTGTACATGACCTTAATGAAACAACAAATGATGTACAACAAGTATTATTTGAAGAAAAAATCACTATCTTTAATTTTTTGTAGGAAGACCCCGAAAAGAATTCAAACTTTTGATATTTTCAAAAATTCAGAGTTAACCGTGAAAATTGGACCTATGTCACATTTATAAGTGCATTCTACTCTATTCGTATAAGAAATGTAAAGAAAAACATTGCAGCCGTTTTCGAGTAAATTTTGAAAATGACCCAAGGGCTTCATATAAAGTGCCCCCAAAAACTAATGAATGATTTTCAAAATCGCAAAGCTTCGACTCAAGCCAAATGGACAGCGGTTTCTTCAATTTGGAAAAAATCCTTGGCATGGTTTAGGTGCTAGTGTTGTTCACATACAACAGACAGACGGACGGAATATTTGAAAAAAAAAACAATACTTTTTCTATATCAGGGGACCCCAAAACGTGCATTTCCGTTGAAATCTCGAAATCGATACTCCGCAACATTACGTAACTTTCCCTATATTTTACAGAGAAAGAGAGAGAGAGAGAGAGAGAGAGAGAGAGAGTGAGAGAGAGCAAACTCTGCAGTTCCTTACTTTAGCACTCCAGTTATACGTGCTTGTTCAACCCGCTTGCACACAATATTTAGTATTCTTTTTGAGTTTTAGCTTAGAGCTTGTGATACCTGGATGTAAAACATCCAAAAAATATTTATAATTATTGTATTTTTGTGGTTGATTGATTGATGTTTTCGAGCATGTCAACTTCTATAGTCATTAGCCTCATTTCAATTAGTTACAGTGAGATGGCGGGTGTTCCTTTCCCACTGAACGGTGGCATTCGGCGCCGACATACAAGTCGGCCACCGGGGAATTTCCTCCACGAGCTATCTTCCCTCAGAGGAGCCCTGCCCCAGTCAGGACTGACTGTAAGCTACAGACTAGTTGTTTAGTGCATATAAGTAGTATAAGGGTGTAAATAAGGGGAGAGAAGAGAACAAGTAAGAGGAAGAAAAATCGCGCGCGGCCCGTTGTACAGTACTGTCAAGACACTGCTTCGCCATTCGCCTGTATTGATGGGAAAAATCACGGACAAGATCAGAGCAGCAGGCCGGTAGAATTCTCTTCCAGACAGCGGCTGAATTCGACGCCACTATGTAGCCAGTGTCGAAAATCCGCAACCAACGACTTTCAAACCCTAAGAACTTCCGGTCATAGTCACTGCACATGGCAATACTGGCTCTGAGATCATTTTTATGGAAAAGGCCGGCTACACATGGACAGCGGCGGAAGGGCAATTCATTATAGTACGTTACAGTCCTGCCGCGCGGAGGTCGGCTGACAACTATAACGGCGAGAGTAACGATTCAGAATAGACTGATAGAAAAGACTGATTGGTTGGTTTAGTGATTCCGGGCATGTTGACTAGCGGCGTCATTAGTCTGTAAGTGTAGTGCATGTTTTGCTCGGAAGGTAGCGGCGGCCTTCCCTCGCTATATGGCGAGATCCGTCGATTTTCCCCAAACAGATACCTCCCACCAGCGGGACCCCGCGCCAGCCGGGGCAAGTTCTAAGCTCCCGGCAGATCTTCCGGCATGTGTGCTTGTGAAGTGTGTGTATATGTAAAAGAGGAGATAGGACAAGGAAGAGGTAGGAAAGATCGCGCGCGGTCCGTTGGCCGTTTGTGGATACTGCTCCGCAATTCGCCTGGTATTTTCTCCAGAGAATCTACAAAAAACTATCGATCAGCGCAGCTGCTAGAATTCTCCTCCAGACAGCGACTGAATTCAACCTACCTGGCAAACTAGAATCGAAAATCCTCCCACCGTCGGAACTCAAATCTAGGACCTCCCGGTCAGAGGGACTGCAGTGACATCGGTTATTGCCCTGAACCATCTCTCCTGGTCTCAGAATAGAAAATAGAACGGCGTCACAGCACAGAGAGTACGAATATACGTGTGATGTCTCTCCCACTAGTCCACAAACACAAATTGAATTACCTTAAACTTAGCTGCTAGTTTTCTGCAGAGAAACAGAAACTTTTCTGGTTCGTACGTTGAACCACTACTGCAACGATACTATATCTTTATTCAGCTTGTAACTGAATCTTTCACTTTAATTATACTTCTGTATGTTCAGAAATATTTACAATCACCAAATAATAAATGAAATGACGGTTGTATAGTTTTGATAAGAAACCCACCATAAGTTGTCTGTTTCCCAAAAATAAAAATTTATATAATTTCATTATTTTGAAATTTATTTTAATCTTAACCGATGAAACAAGCAAAGGCTAACACTCTTACTATGAAGTAAAATGTATTCCATTCGGTATTCGGGTTGGATTAATCGGATTTTAGCAATGTTCCTAGCTCTGGAGCATGACGTATTCACATCGCCATACCTAGTTTATTTGGTCTGCCTGAGCTTTCTTTCGTCACACAGCTATAGAAACTGAGACGATTTTTATTAGAAAACCTCAGCTTCATTTTTGCCCCGGCCGGGAATTGAGCCCGGGACCGACTCACAGAAAGCTAAGCACGCTATCCATGAGCCACCCGAGGGGCCTCACAGTCAAATCATAGTCAAAAATATTTGCTATCTGCACAACCATCTTTCTCGTTATTGGTAATTAAAATCGAGCTTGCTTCTCACCCATTGTATTCACACACACACGCAAAGTATCTTATATATTATTCAATGAAGAGTTCTGAGTAATTTTTGAGATGCATCTGTTAGAGATTCAATTTAATCATACCAACTTATATTATTTATATTATTACCAAACATTCCGAAACAAATGCAAATTCCTAGCACGTAGCATTTTCGAATACCTCAGCAAATTCTAATAAGGTCGACAAAT